TAATAAATTATATTAGTCGAAATACAAGAATTTGAATTCAGTTGCTGAATTTTCAAGGTCCCAAATTCAACCAGAAAAATTAGCTGTCCCACATTCATAAAAACTAAGATTCTAGATCAAGTCAAACCAATATCCAGTTTGTTCATTAGATGTTATTGTAAAACAAACTGAAATTTTATTTTTTTTAAAACAGCGCTATGTGAACCCCTGATGAAAAAGCTGAATGTTGGTCTGACTTAATCTATAATCTGTTGCTTTTCCCAAGGAGCTCAGCTGTGAAATTTTGATTCTGAATATGAAAATAGCAGTAAATTCAGGTTAAAAGTAATTCAGGTATACCATTTCAACGCATTTATATTCACTGGAAATAATGCTTAATCTTTAATTCATAATCAGATTAAACAGATTGACATCATAAGTAGAGGTCTCTACAGAACATTTTGAGAATTTTGTTTGTTTTTTTGAAATTCATGGATGCAAAAGAATGCAATTGTATTATTTAATTGTATCTAATTATTTTGTAAAGTCAAATGTTTTTCTTTGTTTGCCTCTTCATGGGCAATAAAGTTTAATTTCAAAGAACCCTGTTTGCTGTTAGGTGTTTTTCCACCCCGACATCAACTTGATATCAAGTGACACATACACTGAAAAAAATGATTTTGTGCTGTCATTGGCATTATTAGATCCAATTTAGTCAATTTTACCTGATTACATATATTTACAATATCTATTAATGAAACCTACTAAAATCAACATGAATTTATCTAAAATGAGATGGATTTGATTAAAACACATAAAACCAATTAAATTTGGCTCATAAAGATTCCGACAGTAGGTGCGTTGTTTTTTTCTACATTCGTAAAACCCAAGAAGAAGAAGAGGCTAAGCGGGAACATCTCTCCTCGAGGCCGTTGGTCTGCCATTTTCTTCGAGTTTGGTAAGAGTTTTCCTTTATCTGTGAAACATGTCTGTTTATCGTTTATTGTGTCAAACAAGAGATACGGATTTTGTAAGTTAGGTAAGCTTTCAGGGTTCATTTTTTGCTGGGTTTTTATATTTATTAACTGCAGTTTACGGTCTATGGTGTTAACTGAACCAGAGCTGACTGAAGTGTACTACTTTCTGTGAGGAAAAAAGCTTGTTCATGCAAATAAAGCTAATTTCTTTATTCCTTCGCACATCTGTAATGGCAATACAGAACGGCGAGTGTGTGCTTAATTTTTTTTATAATCCTCTGGGACGGGCGCAGCCTTCACAGAACAGTTCGTGATGCCACTTACGTTTGTCTAAATGTACATAAATGAGGAAAATAAGTGGCCCGCCATGCCATGCAGGCTCTGCATATTTAGGCATTGTTCCGTTGTATATTGGAAGATTATATTAAATTACGTACGTTTCGTTGTTATTATAATCCTACAATAAAATTATATTTACAGTTGGTATATCAAAAACGCTTTTCAGTAAAAGTCAACAACAGTAACTCTAATTGATAATTTTATTCAAAATGTATTTATTAAAAAATGCTTAACAATTCTTGTAATGAACGAATAGCACAATGAAAGAAATGTCTCATCTAAACATCCCTTAACAATTAAAGTTAACAATAACTCTCACCTCCCAATAACACATGATACTCAGTTAGCCTCAGTAATGAACGAAACAATGTCTGTTCTGTAGGCTATTGGAAAAAATTAATTGACAAATGAGCTAATTATATACATTTGCACTTCTGCATGTTACTGGCGTATCTCACCGTTGCTAACTCCTCCTTAAGAAAAGTATTTATGGGCTGCTGTGAAATGACAATAAGACGTAATATTTTAGTCTTGAATAGTGCCTCAAAAAGTCGCTAGATTTGTTGCAAGCCGCTTTTTAAAAAAAATGTCACTAGAGGGGTCTGAAAACTCGCTAAATTTAGTGAGAAAGTTGCTAAGTTAGCAACGCTGACAGCTATTGATCCTCTTATTAAGAACGGGCTGCCCACTGACACAGCTCAAGGATGACGTCACACACAGCGCCGTGCCCAGGGTCCTAGTGCCTGTAAATTTAATGGTCCAAT